TCAGGCTACAAGTAAGGTTGTTAGGAGTTATTGAAAAGTTATTGCCCCTTGAAAACAAGATTGTTTTGTATCTAGAATAAAGATTTGTCTATACAGCCAATGGAATACAAAATGTATATTAATGATGTTAACAACATAAATGAATGGTACTGAGCCATTACCTCATCAAGCTGCTCTTGTTCTGTGTTGTTTTCACTTATAGGATGCAGGAGCAGTTCGAAGCAACCAATCGGTCAACCTCAGGCCTTTATCTTATGTATTACTCCTCAATTGCTGCTGAAAGTTGAGTGATTTCATGGCTGCTACTAAGGTTGCTGAACCAATGTGAATAGCAATGCATTCCATGTTTCCTAGTAAGATATACATTATCAAGTAAAATATCAGACAGCAAAGTATTCTTCTGTAGGAATGCAAAAGCAGTGGCGTGTTAAATAAAAAAAGATGAAGACTAAATTTGCTTTGATTCTTTTCTTTTTGAACTGTGAAGTGCCATAAATGATAAAAAGCTAACAGGGATCACTGTTTGACATCTTTAACTTCATAAACTAAAGGCGTGTCGAAATATGAGAAAGTTCACTGTTAATAACTGCTGATATTTAGTCCCATCACCCAGACAGAGAAACTCTGCCCTGACCTCTCGTTCTTACAGAATTCTACCTTTAAATCTCTTCAAAGCCTAAACACCCTCTTCAGAAAAGTAATGAACCACAGTTCACAATCACACATACACAGTGACATTTCAGCAATAGAGGTATTGAGTATTTGAATGAGCACTTTACCTCTTTATCACCAGCACTTTACTCCTGAGTTATAGAGGCTAGGCTATTCATTACATTCTATTAAACTGTTAATGAGAGATGATTAGGGATAAATGAAAGAGCATTGGGTGGAATGGGAGAAGGAATTTCTCACAGGTCTGGTAAAAGTGTTAAAATTAATAGCCTAGATTAAACTATTATGGTTTGAATCAAAGCTACCTTTTTAGATCTGATACAAGGAAATACTTTTTTTTAAGAATTAACTTTCAAACACAATTATCCTCCCAAAACAAAAAACAAAAAAAAACAAAAAAAACAGCACTGTATGTCCAAGAGTGACCAACTTCCTTTTGTTGTTTTATTTAGGAGCTTTAATGAAAAAAAAAAAAAAAATCAAATTCCAATTTTACCATGTTTTAAAGATTCCTAAACACACTTTTAGCGTTGTAAGTTGGTATGAACAAAAACAAAACTTTTCTTATAAACACACAGTTAGAGCAAACCCAGCCCTTAGCCATAGAGATGACCTTAGACCTTAGATTATTAGATATAAGGCATTAATTTGAGTTGCAAAAATTAAGATTTTGTCTCTGAAGAATTACAGTGAGAAAGCTAAGAGTTGCCACTTTTTAAAGAAAAAACATTTGGAGTTATAAAGTAATAATTTAATGGATCACTTTTCCTTGTAGAAAAAAAGGAAATATACATTCTCTGTAGACTGGCTTTTCAGGTTAACCTTATTTAGCAGAGTGTGACCATCTATATGTATGTACAGTACAATGCACATTTTTCACAAGTCTATACTGATGGGACTGCAAGAGAGATCACAAGTTAAATGCGATCTGTTATTATGTGGTGATCCTTCCATTGTTGAATTCACTGTGTAGAGCTTCTATTTGATATACGGTAAATATATGTTTATGTGGACATGAACTGTAATAAATAAGATTTTGAATAAGAAAACTTAATACTGCAGTTAAAAAGCAACTCTGGCCAGATCTAGGTTAATAAAAAAACTAAATGCCAAACTTTTTGAGGGGTTTGATTATAGCTGGTAACCACTGGAGGTAAAGGGAGAGGAACTTGCATGTTATAATTACTGCCACCCGCTGAACTGAAGGTGTAGTGCAGTTTCTCTTAGGCGAACTGTCACAGGATGCCAAGCGTAATGGAAAATCATGCTGATGACCTACCCAGGACTCCGATTACTCGAGTAATACTAATCCTAGGGCTTTAAATCTTGGGGCTTTCAGTGGAAAAATTTGTTATGTTTCATTCCAGACCTACTTGGAGTCATTGCAGGTTAATATACGAGCTTAGCCTCTTTTAACCAAGTTGCATGCTTCCTCTTTAAGCTCCATTAGCGGTTTGCTTGCTTTGTTGGTGAAGGTGAGCCAGAAAAGGCAGTTTTTTTTTTCTCCAAAAGAACCAATCAGCATGAATCACATAAAACTGTTATGCAGACTTTAGAACAGCAACAGTAACACCTTTTGCTGCTGTTCTCCAACAATGAGCTTTGGATATTGTTCAGTTTTACGTAGTGTCCAGACAAACTTGGTCTACATTTAGCCCGGTTTATCCCAATTTCTGTGGTTTCATCTTCATCAAGCTCTATTAACCAAAATCAAGGTAACCTTTATGCTGTATTGAAATGAACAATCTACATTTAGCGTTTGGCATTCACGAAACAAATACTGCTACAGTGTTATAAAGGCAGACAGCTTGGTGAGCGTGCTGGTAATAAGTTGGAGTCGTTGCATTGTCTGTTTGATTTGTTTTAAATAAAGTACAAAGGTACAAAAATCCCTCCATGGCTATGCACCTTGTCTACATTCATTCATATTTCTGTGGCCTCAAAAAGTGGTCTAAAATACAGCTTTTACCAATAACTAAAGTTAACTATAATTATAGACATCAAGCTGAAGAATTCAGCAAGCACTTTGTTAATTTTTACTTCTTTTAATTCAGACATTTAAAAAAGTACAATTTAGAGCTGTAATCAAAATACTTTGATGTGGTGAAACCTTAAAGTTTTTGATTAAGATTATCATACCAACACAATTTCATACAGCCCCATTCCCACTTGCACGTTTTTTACTGCAGAACTATAGAGGATTATTTCAAGCTGTCATTTAACAACTTTTAGAAATGTTCACAATTAATACTGAATCTGCACCTATTGCACATTATCGGGCATCAAATGCTGCTGAACTTTTAACTTTTAGCCCTTTAAATTGTTCATCTCATTGTATTTTTCAATAACGCATTTTTTGCACAAATGCCATTTTGCACTGAACCACTGCAACTTGCACACTGTCTCTTATCCTCTGCACTGTTCACACTTTGACCACTGCTGCACTTTTTGTATTTTTCTATAACTCGTGCCATTGTGAAATATCAATGCAACGTTCATAAGCTGTATGTAACGCAATTTCGTTCTGTATGCACCCTGTGCATACAAAATGACAAATAAAGAAGTCTAAGTCTAAGTCTAAGTCTAAGTCTGAATCTGTTCATGCATCGATTGCCAATAGCAGCTTCGTACTAATAGAGTGAGAGGCGGGATACACCAGACATATTGTGCCAGTCCATCACAGAATACAATTATTAGAATCAACAATCTAATGAAAAAACATTTGGTGAAACTCGTCAAAGTTAAAATGAGTGTAATCTATTGCAAACAACGTCACATAGACAGTGTTTCAGCACAATGTCCTCAAAATCCTGGCTTCACTGGAGGCTTTTGGTATGTGACACTTTCCATTTGGTCTTCTGCTCAGAATGTGAGTCTGTATGTTTGTGTGTGTGCTTATGGGTCAATGTCAGTCTGTATAGAGGAGATAATGAGGCAGTGTATGCTTCACCCAGCTAACCCCTGGATTTAACTGACAAGTCCATCGAATCGGCTGCAGAAGTGGGAAACTGGAAAAGGATTGTCTGATTTTGTCACAGACCACAGAACTTTTGCTTGTTAGTTTTTTTTCAGTGTCATTATTCAACCAAAAAAAGTTAAAAACAATGACTTCAGACACCAGGAAGGACAGATTCATACCCCGATCAAGAAGAAGAAAAAACATCTTTGTATGGTCAGTCAAAATTTGACAGAGAGAATAATAGCTTTCAACACTATTGCAATCACAGACCATGGATATATTAATAGCAATTCACTATCTAATTTTGTATATCATCATGGAACAAAGTTGAATATCAGAAAGATAACTGAAAACCAATTTTTTTCACAAAACAGAGAAATATCAACTGAGTGATGTAAAGGTTTACATTATACATGCAGGTGTTCTCTCCAGGGACCAAAACTGCAAGGTTTTCTCAACAAACATGGAGACTGATCGATATTTTAAAAATAGACGATATCTTCAAATTTTCCATTCAAAATCTAAGACCATTCAGGTGAATTTCAGTATCTTAGAATTCTTGTTTTTTTCTTCAGAAGGAAGAGAACTGTAAATGTATGTTTAGGCGTTATTAGCCATTTAAATTCATATATGAATACATTGCTATTGCTTCTGTTTGATTAAAAGGAAACCCCCACAACTATAAAATACAAGCTCCTTTAAAGTCTGGTCAGCAAGGAATAATCAATGGATCATTATCTATACCTAAAACTAATGCATTCGCGATGATTTAATGAATTTAGCGTTAATCAGTAAACAATTAGAAATAGTCATTTTCATCGCAATCACTGAGTACGGGACCAGCCATTTTTGCCCAAATATAGTAACATCTCACTCCTGCCATCTTCCTGCAGTGACGTCACGGTGCGGTAAGCCTAGCACCATTCTCCCCGCTTTACACGCAAAATCAATGGGAAGTACTAGACTCATCTGTAATCAACGACAATTACTTAGAATTTCGAGAGGATTTCACCATTAAAATTCACAAGAGCTATATTTAAACTGACAATGCCCACGTGCATGGCAGTTGGATGTTGTAATACAACTCTGGCAGCACAGAAGGGTGCCTCACACTTATTGTCCCAAGTCACAAGTGATTTGGAGGTAAACAGTGACTTTACATGGTGCATGCTTAGAACTTTACATTGTACCAGAGATTATTAAATCCATGTAGCACAGGGTGTCATGGAGTAGTCTTAAGACTAATAAAATTGCACAGTGTAAATAAATCTATATCATGAAAAAAAAAACTCCTGCATTACTTTATGTAAAATAAGGTTCACATTTTAAACCCTTTTCTTTGCCAAAATAAATAAAACGTGTGCCTCACCTTCTTCTTGGACTTGAAGACATTACAACGGAAAACATTGCTCTGTCCATCTCTGGCAATGTAGCTGAAGATCTTTAAATCTTGTGAGTCATGGGAAACGTAGAATATCCTAAAAGAAAAATAAGTCGTTCAGAATAGACAACCACAAAAAAAAAAGAAATACAAATATCGAACAAATCGAGGAGGCATTTAAATTTTCATCTTGAGGCAAGGAAGTTGAATTATTCTATTTTTATTTTATTTTATTTCAAAAGTGGTTTTGAACAATAATTTTTTTTTTTAAGTATTAATTACTGGAAATGGTATTGAATAGAACAGAGCATTAATATCCACTGCTTTTAACAAGAATATGAAAACATTAGAAAAACTTTTTACAGAGTCTAGTCGTTCAGGTAAATAATGTATTTCATTTTCAGCACGTTATGCAATCTAGGTATAAAGTACTGTAAGTTCTAAGTATACCCAAGTTTAATGAAGAATCAAAAGCCTTTTAGTTGTGAACCAAAACTACTGTCTACCCAAAGGGACAAAGATTATGCATCATCATCAAACTCCTTAGGCTTACCTTTAATTATCCCAGATAATGCCAAATCTTTGACCACAAAGCATAGGGAAACTAATCATTTTCACCTGTTAACCCAATAAATAGAATCTAACTATTAAACTGTTTGAATTTATATATTTGCATGTAGTTATTGACGTCATTACAACAGCCTCTGAAGACTGACCGGGGGACTGAAGAATATGAAGCAATTTATAATCAAATAAAGCATCTTCATCTTTTACAAGAATTCATTTAATATAACTTTCCTTTAGCAAAGTCCATAATTTTTATATTTTTACCTAAGGAATCTGTTTTCACAGAGCATTGAGACGTCCTCTGCATTTATATAAATCTTTGCAAGAATAAAATTAAAGAAAGCTAATTTTATTTTCGCTAATTTTATTTAAATTTTATGTTACCGATCTTTAGAAAATCCAAATAAGAAGCACTAAATAGCCGTCCATACTGAGTCTGGTTCTATTAGAGGTTTCTTCCTGTTAAAAGGGACTTTTTCGTCTCCACTGTCGCTACAAGCATGCTTAGTTTGAGGAATTGCATTCACGTCAATGAGTCGATGCAATCAACTGGTCTTTCCTTAGATAGAAAACTTTGAATCAATTTGACTGTATCATCTGGTGAACTGTAGTGCTTTGAGATGACATGTTGTGAATTGGCCCTATATAAATAAACTGAATTGAATTTAAATAAATTAAATTGAGTAGGCAAGTGTGGTTATTGCAAGTGATCTACAAAGATTGCAGATGCAACAGTTAGGACAGGCATGTGCTGCTGAATTTAAGATCTATTGTAGAGAAAAACAAAAAAATCTATGCCATGGAATAGGAGCTACCACCTACTCTGCTCTGTGGGTACAAATAAGTTTGAACGTGTTTTTATATATGCAAACCTTTTTAAGATCAGGGCCTTTTGTCTTTTTATGGAAACATCTGAAATCATCTCCAGAGCGGAAAACATTTAATCAGCAAACAGAGCCAGTTTCAACATTTTGGACATGTTGCATTTGTATCTCTAAACTGAATAATGAGCAGTAACCAACAGACTCAAAAAAACTGTTACTTCAAAATAAATAACTCTTAATCCAATTGTTTGAGACTAGCCATAAAGCAAAGTTCTATGTCACCTGACCCATTCAGCGATGGATCTGACCCTGTAAAGTCACATCAGTGAGTTTTTGAGAAGGGCAGCCCACACTGTTCATTAATATAAGCCAAGTGCTGAACATTGACCCAAAAAAATATGTAATTATATAGTATATTTCAATGAAGCAAACACTTGGGTCAGACGTTATGTAGTGTTGCTTTAACATTCTCTATATGAGATATTGAATTTACCTGAATGTAAAGGAAATGTAAAGTTACCGCTTTGGCTAGCCAAGATATTCCACTTGTCAATACTTTGATTTGCAGAAAGATGAAGAAATGTCGGACAGAAGTTTTAAAAATACCTTTCAGGTGATTGTGTTTGTGTGCATTTTGTTATTGCTCTTATTCTCTTTGAAAAATTAGATAAGGCATAAAAAAAAAATAAAACAAAAAAAAATTAGCCTTCAAACTTAAGTCCTTAAATAGTTTTTGTTTGTGAAAGATATTCTGCCCATAGTCATAATATTAAGCCCAATGTAAGAAAGAAAATAGCCTACAGATCTTTATGAGGTAGTTTCATGTCTTTTAATAATGACATAGTTAAATGAAAATATAAAACATTGATTAAACCACAAAGCCCTTGTTTATTTCTCTGCCACAGGCTGTTATTTGTTACTGATTAGGGTTTCTCATTGTGCAAGTTATTACAATGAGCTTGATGTAATCTACTGTAAAGAGTATGAAACTTAAGGGGGGAGGCAGCTTTGTAATTGGGTAATTAGAGCTATAATATTAGGATGCTTTCAGTAATCTATCACACTGAGACAATAAAAAGACAGACGAGAGACAAGAGAAAACAATTAAAAGGAGGCTATGCAAATAAATACATGCTGGCTCTACCAAAAGGTTCATCTGTGTGTTGGGCCATGTGCATGTCCATTTCTGTGTGCAAGTTTTGTGTGTTTGTAATCAGGAGTTTCATCTACGTTCCCGGTGACATTTCTGTGGTATTTGTTTGGGTCTATTTTCTGGAAGCCAGACTGGCTCAGGCAACATCTTATGGATGGTGTTCTTTATCAACACAGCTTAGCAGATGGTCAAATGCCAGACACGGCTCACTGCTGTGACTCATTCAATCATGCATACAAACACCAGTGAGCTAAAGAAAAGCTAGCCCATTTCTCTTTCTAAAGGACGCCATCTAAAAACTGCTCCAAGAGCTCATTGTATACAGATATCTAGACATCTAATAATCTGGTGAACATCCAGTGGATTTGACCTGTAAGATGAAAGTGTTGAAGGCTGCTGTCGTTGATGGATGTAAAAGTAATTTAAACTTAAATTTACTTCTGCCTTTAAACTAATTATGACAGCTCTTTGTTTACGCAGTAAAAAATGTCCTCAACCAATCTTTCTGCTTTATCAATAAACAGATTTTTGACTTAACTTCATGTTTACGGATGAGCATTACATTATCTCTTGCAGATATGAGCATACACCTTTCAGCATTGAGCTTTGACAACTTTCCTTTTTTTTGTCTTCTGTCAAATACAGATCTAGAGTGAAAGGGTGGAAATCTAAACAATGCCACTTCTGAATGTTTTATATCTCAAGAGCACAGTACATGGTGCGGTGCATGGTGCGTTTTTCTTTAATAATCTCTTAGATACTAATCCTACATAAATTAGAATGTGACCACAGCACAAAAAGACTAAATAATCTAATAATGTGGAAAATGCATTTAAAAAAGGCAATAAAAGCTATTTAATGACTCAAGTTTTTTGACCTCTTGCATTTTGTCTAAAACATTATAAGAGAGTATTAAAATAAAAACCCTAAATAAATGTATCTGTTAAATTTATCAATAAAGTTATTTTTAATTCAGATTTCACAATATATGATGTTAGAAAAGACTATTTTTTTGCCAAACAAATTAAAAAATCTCAGAAGACCATCATAAAGGCCAGCATGTGGCAATGAAGTAAACGATAACAATCCACAGTATATCTGAGGTTCTATGAACTTCTAATTGATAGAAAGCCAATTGGATAGCTTGTGGTCACCAGCTTTCAAAACAATAATAGACCAGTTTCATGGGTATTATGGGCTTAATTTCACCACCAAGCTATTTCTGATCATTATTTGTGGTTGAAAAAGGTCAGCGTTTATTTACATTGGAGAGCAACTGTCATTTATTTCTCATAAAAGTAGGAAGTTTATCAATTTCCTACTCTGCTACAACAAAAACTGGGAAGGATGTCAGATTAATTTGGAAAGCTTCACTGAAAAAAAAAATCTAAATTTAAGTATTCTAAAGTATCTAATTATGTTTTTCTTAAAATAAGTGCATTTATTCATGAATTGAGGAGGTGAGACACTTTGCCAATGGAATAGGACAATTTATATTTAAGTAAAAACAATTGTATTGTTATAATTCCAATGCATATTATCTAACTAACCTTTTTTATTTTCTTATTTTGAGTAAAGATACTCATTCAGTTGGCAAATGTTTTTATTTACCTACTCAAATTAAGGGTAAACACATTTAACTTAAGAAATGTTGACTTATTTCTAGGTCATTTTTGCAGAGTTGGAAGCTTGTCAACACTTACATAGGGAGAGAGTTGGCTGTGTGCTGATACTCACATGTGGTATGTAAAGTATATGAAGACAGATGCGTAATAAAGCAAGTGTTTGAATGATTCCTGCTATAATGGTGGGGTGGTAGTTTAGGAGGATGAGGGATGGAGACCACGGGCTGTAGCTATCCAGCTGGACCCAGCCAGTCATGCAGTCTTGCAACCGCATGACCGCAAAGTCCACCTTAACATCCAAATGTGATTTTGAAATAAATAACACACTCCTTTGTTCATTCATAGTGCTCTTTCTCATTCTTGTAGATACACAAAGACACAGAGAGAAGGCACCACATGTAACAAGGTACCACAGGTACATGATTCAGAGGCGTCAGCCAACAAGGCCGATTAAGCTCAACAACAGTATGGCTTAGTTTTACACTAAAAGGAAAGGAGGTGGATCCAATTTTTTTCCCTCATTCTGTAATAACCAGGTCCCCCGCTATTTTTACCAAACTTTACATGTGGTAATGGAAACCTCATGCAGATGCGTACTTTATTTGACCCAGTATAGGGTTACTGTCTACGGCCTCAACTTAAACTATAAACTGTTAATTCTGGAACTCTCCCTCCAGCAATCAACTGAGTAGACACTTTAAGAAGTTTAAGAAGACGTTCTTAGCAGAAATCAGCAAAAATGGCAGGTGAAACTTGTCTAAAGATGCTAAGCTATTTTTGGAAAAGCTTTCCTGTCACAACATCAAAAACGTGTGTTTGATAAAAGCTACTGAGCCTTGGGGTTTTATACAACGTTTAGTCAGATTTCTTTGAGAAAAAACACCTTAAGCCCAATCTTAAGGGGGATGGAGGGTCCTTTGTTGTCAGA